TCACAAACACCAAAGCTGAAGAAGTTGGATTTTATGAATTTCTGCAGTCTGAAATTGATCAAATGTACAATGAAGATGCATTGATAATCATTGGTGATTGGAATGTAAAAGTTGGAAACAAAAAAGAAGGATCAGTAGTTGGAAAATACACCCTTGGTGATAGGAATGATGCCGGTGATTGTATGAGATAGAATTCTGGAAGACCGATGACATATTCATCAAAAATACTTTTTTCAACAATCAATGACTATACATGTGGACCTTACTGGATGGTTTATGCAGCAATCAGATCGAATACATCTGTGGAAAGAGATGATGTAGAAGCTCAGTATTATCAGTCAAGACAAAGCTAGGTGCTGACTGTGGAACAGACCATCAATTGCTCATTTGCAAGTTCAAGTCGAAGCTGAAGAAAGTGTAAGTGCAAGAGGGCCAAAGTACAACCCTGAATACATCCTGCCTGAATTTAGAGATCATCTCAAGAATAGATTTGATGCACTGAACACTAATGACCAAAGACCAGAAGAGTAATGGGATGACATCAAGGACATTATACATGAAGAAAGTAAAAGGTCATTAAAAAGATAAAAAAAAGAAGGAAAAGACCAAAATGGTTGTCAGAAAAATCTCTGAAACTTGCTCTTGAACATAAACTAGCTACTTGTCTGTTGGTTTGTCATACTGTAGTGGCTGCGTGTTGCTGTGATACTGGAAGCTATGCCACCAGTATTTCAAATACCAGCAAGGTCACGCATGGTAGACAGGTTTCAGCAGAGCTTCCAGACTAAAACAGACTAGGAGGAAGAACCTGGTGGTCTACTTCCAAAAAAAAATTAGCCAGTGGAAACCTTATGGATATCAGTAGAACTTCTGCTGAAGGTCATTCAGAAGTGGCTGCAGTAGTATATCGACAGGGAACTGCCAGAAATTCAAGCCGTATTCAGAAGAGAACGTGGAACCAGGGATATAATTGCTGATGTCAGATGGATCCTAGCTGAAAGCAGATAATACAGAAAGATATTTACCTGTGTTTTATTGACTATGCAAAGGCATTCGACTGTGTGGATCATAACAAATTATAGATAACATTGCAAAGAATGGGAATTCCAGAACACTTAATTGTGCTCATGAGGAACCTGTACACAGCTCAAGAGGCAGTCATTTGAACAGAACAAGGGGATACTGTGTGGTTTAAAGTCAGGAAAGGTGTGCGTCAGGGTTGTATCCTTTCACCATACCTATTCGGTCTGTATGCTGAGCAAATAATCGGAGAAGCTGGACTCTGTGAAGAAGAATGGGGCATCAAGATTGGAGGAAGCTGCATTAACAGCCTGTGTTATGCAGATGATACAACCATGCTTGCTGAAAGTGAAGAGGACTGGAAGCACTTACTGATGACCACAGCCTTCAGTATGGATTACACCTCAACATAAAGAAAACAAAAATCCTCACAACTGGACCGATAAGCAACATCATGAAAATGGAGAAAAGATTGAGGTTCTCAAAGACTTCATTTTACTTGGATCCACAGTCAACACCCATGGAGGCAGCAGTCAAGAAATCAAACGATGCATTGCATTGGGCAAATCTGCTGCAAAAGATTTCTTTAAAGTGTTGAAAAGCAAAGATGTCACCTTGAAGACTAAGGTGCACCTGACCCAAGCCATGGTGTTTTCAGTTGCCTCGTATGCATGGGAAAGCTGAACAGTGAATAAGGAGGACCAAAGAAGAATTGACGCCTTTGGATTGTGGTGTTGGCGAAGAATATTGAATATACCATGGACTGCCAAAAGAATGAACAAGTCTGTCTTGGAAGAAGTACGACCAGAATGCTTCTTAGAAGCAAGGATGGTGAGACTATATCTCACATACTTCGGACATGTTATCAGGATGGATCAGTCCCTGGAGAAGGACATCATGCTTGGTAAAGTAGAGGGTCAGCGAAAAAGAGGAAGACCCTCAATGAGATGGATTGACACAGTGGCTGCAACAATGGGCTTGAGCATAACAACAATTGTGAGGATGGCACAGGACCAGCCAGTGCTTCGTTCTGTTGTACATAGGGTGGCTATGAGTCCAAAATGACTCAACGACACCCAACAACAACAACAACACTGGTAGGACTTCAGCTAATTTATTGATTACCTTATATCAGACTGTATTATGGACGGTGATTTCCTTACACCTCAGATGAGATTACATCCACAGGTATAGGGGTTAGGATACTAACATGTATTTTTGGGGGGGTTGGTGGGGAGGAAGCACAATTCAATCCATAACAAAAAGTAAGCTAAACTATCTAGAAAACAACCAAGAACAAGGAAAGAACAACAAAAATTTAAAAACTTAAACCAAAACACATGTTACAAAATCCATACACAAAAGCCTTTTGTTTTATATTCCTTCCTAACAAGCTTGCATATCTCATTACCTAGTCCATAATAAATTATAATAATGGCTCTCTCTCTGTATGCTAGGATCTGGCAATATGTACACCAGGGTTCCAAGCAATTTACTGGGAATGACTTCCATATCACAACTTTCATCTATCCTTAGCCACAGTGGGATTGCATTTCAGACTTTGTACATGAGGTCAATGGTTAACTATTGACCTATACAAATGAGGTTGGGCAGTAACTATTATTTAAAGCAAAGGCTATTGATCTGTCCTAATAATATCTCCCTGTGGGGCAGTTCTACTCCATCACATGGGGTTGCTGTGAGTCAGAATCGACTCAATGTCACCCAACAAGAACATCAATGGTATCTCCATTCACATCAAATGACCCTGGGTACCCTGTAGCCCTTGGGCCCGTTAACTTCAATGATCTGTTTTAAGCATTGTATTCTGTCTCCCTCTTAACAACTGCTCACTTTGGGAGTCTTAGTCCAAACCACCATCCAGTATCACTTGGACTAATGCATTAGCTTCCCAATCAGATTTATGCCTTTTTTGGAAAGGGTTAACGGTTTATTGGCTATAGCATTATCTAGAATATATGTACATGATTTGTACATTTTGTTAACTTGCTGAGTGTGGGGTTTTGATGGAGTAGGACCCAAGAAGGTGATGTTTTATGTAGTGAAGAGGTAGGAAAAGTTTTTGGTTTGTATAGGAAAAGTGGGGAAGTAATATACTTAACTAACATGGATGTTGCATGAGTTTTGAAGTATTAAAGGGAGATGAGAAGCAATGCCATATACAAATTTTGCCTAACTCACAATAAATCCTGTGGCACCATACAGTTGCATCTCTGCACAGACATGAATTAAACACACACCCAAACAACAAAAAACAATCAATCCAAAAGAAAGTAAAAAGGAATCACAACATTCAAGACCCTATTCACAAACCATAGTAATCCTGTTTACAAGCCCATTCCTCTACTTGAAAATTCTGCATTTTCAGCTGCTCCAGAGGCTTTTCCACAAATCTGCATTATTTTCTTCCCCCACTCCAACCACAAGCTGTTTAGTGTGTAGTTTGACTCAACCTGTTAGGCTAAATCCTCCCACTTGTCGTGTTCAGTCTCCAGGTTTCCAAAAAATCTTTTTCAGTGTATTGGTGAAGGGAAGAGGATGACAGATTATTCAAATCACTCCAAAATCTCCCTTGGCTTGATTCTGGGTTTTATTTTATTATTATTTTTTTTTTTGGATGACTCATTTCCTCAGTCCTAGAACAAAAAAAAAGACCCTAAGGTTCAAATTCAAACCCTGAAGTATTCTTCCTGTTCTCATTTTTCATCTTGCTTATACCCTAGTTACAGCAATAATGATTTTATACACTAAAAATGATAATACAGGGTGATAGTGCTCTGTGATGTGTACGAGTCAAAGGCTACTGGTGTTCTGAGGAGGGAGTAATTTATACTGTCTGCAGAGTAGGGGAGGTTTCAAGAATCTGGTGTTCCTGCAGCTGCACTTTGAAGATGTGGAAGTTCACGGAATATTCAAGGGATAGTGTTTCCTCTTGGATGCAGTGACAGAAAAAGCAAATCCAAGTCATATTAAAAAGGGCCTTAAATTCCTTGCTAAGAAAATCAGAGTGAACAGTAAGCAAAAGCAGGAGAATCCCATCATGTACGTCTCTTAGGTAACTTTCACCACTGTCGAAAATAAACTTGAGAATCACAGTAATTTTTTTTTTTTTTTTTGTATTTGACCCTGTAGTCCTGTAGACATGGGTGTTATTCGAGCAGCCTAAAAGGAGTTTCTCCTGTGGAGACAAAATAGGCTTCTCTACTAGTCAGATGGAAAGATGGTAAGGGATTAAACCAGGAACGTTTCAGTGGCGATAGAGAGGCAGAGACAGATGGAAAGATCTCAGGGGATAGCAGAGTTCGAAGAATTACTCTGTCACCTCTAATGGTACTTGGTAAATTAGACTTTCTCTGACTCACCTAGCAAATATTGGGGCCCTGTTTCTTAAGCTACAGTGTACTTTAGATTGCCATTAGATTGTTAATTCTTGAAGGCAGGTATCGTATCTGTTCATCGGTGTGTTTCTGGAGCCTTCAATGACATGCAAAAAAAAAAAAATGTGTTGGTTGTTGAGTGGAAAATAGCTATCCTGAATGATTGAAGATTACAAGCTAGTTCTCCGTATAAGTATTAGCATTACAGGTTCAATGACAGCAAGACACTACGTTGATTACCATTTAACCTAAACTTTTAGCGATGTATTTATTTTTTAATATTTTTATTAAGCTGATAAACGGCCCCATCCTACAAATTTTCATAGTGTCAGCTCCAAAGTAACATTTTTTCTTAGCTGATCTTATCGAGCGGCTATGTGCCAGGAGTGTTCTAAGAAGAGTGTTCCCAGAACAAGGGAGGTACTGGTTTCTTTATCAGTCTTACAGAACTGCGAACGAGATTTAAGTTCCTCAAACTCAATTGCACGCTGGCGTGCCGGAACCAAATTGCTGACGCTCGACTTTCCGGACGGAGAGCTACTATAGAGCGGTGGATCGATTGCTTTTGCCTGGCGGAGGCCCATATAGAGAGCACCACACACGCAAGGGCAGAGGAAAGGTGGTGAGTCAAGGGCATCCCGTTTGGGAGCAAGCTTGAAACGCTGAGATTCCCTAGGCCGCACTCGGCCTGCTTGGCGGGGAGCCAGGCGGGACGAGGAGTTCGGTCATGGTTGCTTCTGCCGTGATGCACGCTTTGCGCAAGAACAAGACGCTTCGCTACGGAGTCCCCATGTTGGTGAGTGGAGGCTGAGGGGGACGTTTGGGGAACGATACCGGAAGGGGTGCGGCCTTATGCGTGGCTGGGTAGAGATTGCGCGAACTCTGTAATACGTTGAGGGGGGTGACGGGGACAAGGGCACGGAAAAGGATGACGATGGGTTCGTCGAGCGTTTAGACAGTCCTAGTCTTTCTCCCTCCTGGGATAGGATTTTGAGTCTCCCATTCCTCTTCCATATGGAGCCCTCGTGGTGCACCTCGGCTGCTAATCAAAAGATCGGCAGTTCGCATGCACCAGCTGCTCCTTGGAAATCCTATGGGGCAGTTCTACTCTGTCCTATAGGGTAGCTGAGTCAGAATTCACGGGACTGCAACGGGTTTGGTTTTGGTTTCCCCTCCCATCGTTATTACCAGGATCTTGCCTGCTTGAGAGTGTGACATTTTCCCCCATTGGAATGTTTGTTGTTCCTGACTCGGTTTCATTCTTTATTTTTTCCCATACAAAAATTTATACATACACTGTTATGTGACTTTAATTGCTCTCTCCATACTGCGACAGCACACTCCTCCTTTCCACCCCTGATTCCCCGTGTCCATTCAACCAGCTCCTAACCCTCGCTGCCTTCTCATCTCACCTCTGGACAGAAGCTGTCCATTTAGTCTCATGTATCTACTTGAGCTAAGAAGCACACTCTTAGGAGTATCATCTTATGTCCCACAGTCCAGTCCAATCTTTGTCTGAAGAGTTGGCCTCAGAAATTGTTTTAGTTCTGGGCTGATAGACATTCTAGGGGCCATGCTTTCCGGGGTTCCATCAGTCTTAGACCATTAAGTCTGGTCTTCTTACTAGAATTTGATTCTGCACCCCACCTTTCTCCTATTCCATCAGGGGCTCTCTGTTGTGTTCCCTGTCAGGGCAGTCATTGGTGGTAGGCCGGCACTGTCTAGTTTTGGTCTCAGGCTGATGAAATCTCTGGTTTATGTGGCCCTTGTGTCTCTTGGGCTAATACTTCCCTTGTGTCCTTGGTATTCTTCATTCTCCTTTACTCCAGGTGGTTGGAACTATTTGATTCATCCTAGATGGCCGCTTGCAAGCTTTTAAGACGCCAGACGCCACTCACCAAAGTAGGATGCAGACATTTTCTTAATAAGCTTTGGTATGCCAGTTGACCTAGATGTCCCCTGCAAGCGTGGTCCCCAGACCCCTACCCCTGCTACTCGGTCCCTCAAAGTGTTTGATTGTATTCAGGAAACTTCTTAGCTTTGGTTTAGTCCAGTGGTACTGACTTCCCCTGTAGGGTGTACTGTCCTTCCCTTCACCCAAGATAATTTTATCTACTATCTAGTTAGTAAATAACCCTCACCCTCCCTCCCCACCCTCGTAACCATCAAAGAGTGTTTTCCTCTGTGTTTAAACCTTTTCTTGAGTTCTTATAATAGTGGTCTTATACAATATTTGTCCTTCTGTGACTGACTAAATTCACTCAGCATAATGACCTCCAGCTTCCTCCATGTTACAAGACGTTTCACGGCTTCATCGTTGTTCTTTATCGTTGCATAGTATTCCATTGTGTGGATATACCATAATTTGTTTACCCATTTGTCCGCTGATGGGCACCTGGGTTGTTTCTATCTTTTTGCTATTATGAACAGTGCTGCAGTGAACATGGGTGTGCGTATATCAATTTGTGTGACGGCTCCAATTTCTCTAGGATATATTCCAAGGAGTGGGATAGCTAAATTGTATGGTACTTCTATTTCTAGCTTTTTAAGGTAGTGCCAAATCGATTTCCAAAGTGGTTGAACCATTTTACATTCCCACCAACAATGTATAAGTGTTCCAGTCTCTCCACAACCTCTCCAGCATTTATTATCTTGTGTTTTTTGGATTAATTCTAGCCTTGTTGAGGTGAGATGATATCTCATTGTAGTTTTGATCTGCATTTCTCTAATGGCTCATGATCGTGCACATTTCTTCATGTGTCTCTTCGCCACCTGAATGTCTTCTTTGGTGAAGTGCCTGTTCATATCCTTTGCCCATTTTTAAATTGGGTGATTTGTCTTTTTGTTGTTGAGGTTTTCCAGTATCTTGTAGATTTTGGAGATTAGACACTGATCGGATTTGTTGTAGCCAAAAATTTTTTCCCCGTCTGTAGGTTGTCTTTTGATTCTTTTGGTGAAATCTTTTGATGAGCATAAGTGTTTGATTTTTAAGAGCTCCCAGTTATCTAGTTTCTCTTCTGGTGCTTGTGCATTGTTGCTTATGGTTCGTATTGTGTTTATGCCATGTATTAGGGCTCCTAACGTCCCTATTTTTTCTTCCATGATCTTTATCATTTTAGATTTTATATTTAAGCCTTTGATCCATTTTGGGTTAGTTTTTGTGCATGGTGTGAGATATGGGTCTTGTTTCAGTTTTTTGCAGATGGATATCCAGTTATGCCAGCACCATTTGTTAAAGAGACTGTCTCTTCCCCAATTAAG